GTTCCCCACACGGCGCTTGCACTTACAGGTTTGTGATTTTTGCTGAGGAACTGGGCCTGTCTGCCGGCCTCGTCGCCGCCCGTCGTCTGGGCCTGTATGCCGTTTTGGCGACTATGTTGCCGCCGTCGCCGCCCCGTCGTGGCCGCCTCGTCGCCGCCCGTCGGAAGGGCCTGTCTGTCGGTCGCAGGGATTGTTGCCGCCGTCGCCGCCACGCCGCCGCCCCACATCGATTGCACAACACAGATTGCTCAGCATATATGCTCCTTCCTAAGACTAACTCGGATCCACCGCTCGAGGCTGGACGTATCCGTCCCCCCTGGGGATGTTCAGTTGACAGAATTCAAGTGTACGTTCATTCTAAATCTGAATTCGCGTGATCCCAGCCAATCTGGTATCGACGCCGCCCCTCTCCCCGTGCAAAAAATACAACGCGCGCCTTATTCATCTTCAGAGACTTTAAATTCAAGAATCCTTTGCAAACAAGCGGCCGCTCTGCGGCGCTGCTGGTCGCCTGGCCGGTTGGGCCGCGCGCTTGGAGGAGGTAGAAGTGGACGGAGTGTACACGCGCGCGTCGTCGCGCGCGCATGCCGACATTATTAAACAACCTAGGTTTCAATCGAGTTTCCCGAACATATTGCAGAAACCAATGATGTCGTTCCAAACAGCCTGCGCTCGCGCTCTTGCGAGTTCTAAAGGAAACCGTCGATTGCCAAACATGTTCTTCATCATATGCGACCCAACATGCCCCTCGCGCGCGCCGCTCGAAATCATTCGAACTCCCTGGCGCGCGCGCTGTCACACGAATCTCTTGCAAACATTCGGCGAAGTGCACAAGCGTGCGTCGTCTCGCATGTCGGAACCTTTCGAAAAGTCCAGGGTCCGCCAGGATTTGAAATCGAGTGTCCCGAAAATGTATAAAACAGTTTTTTTATAGCTCCGCACAAAGAGTTTTCAACCAGCCAGCGCAATTCGAACACCCTTGCGCGTGTTGGGGGCGGGGCACGATCCCTGTTAAATAATATCATGCGGGCCCCTCCCGCGCGTCGTCGCGCGCGCATGCCTCGAGCCTTTCAAAACTTCTGGTCCCGAACGGAGTTCAAAATCGATTTCCCCAAAACACAATAAACAACATGGTTTCGCAACCCGCATTTTCAAAATACAGCGCACGCGATTTTGTGGATTATTAGGAAAATTATCGGTATGTCAACATGTTCATCAAATCCGACCAAGCGGGCCTCTCGCGCGCTTGCCGATTTTTTTCGAACACCATGGCGCGTGCTGGGAGCGGGGCACCACCTTTGTCAAGTAATACCATTCGGGCCATTCGCGCGTGTCGATCGCGCGCCCATACCGAAATCCTTTCACCATTCTCATCGCCGACGCGAGGACACCATCACCGCCATCAGCGTGATCAGCGTCGGCGCCGTCATTGCCCTAGCCGTTTCATTGCCACCATCGTCACCAGCGCCGCTACTATCATCCTCGTGTCCGCCTGCGTCGGTTCCGCTGTGATACCCTACCCGCCCTGGCCACCGACTCGCACTGATGTGCCCGCGCGCCAGCGCGGCCTGCGAGAAGCGTTGGGAAGTTTCCAGCGGTCAGCGCCGCCGCGGCCGCGTCGGTCGCGCCAAGCTAGCCGGCCGCTGTGCGCGCGAGTGTGCGCGTGCCAGCACGGCCGAAGCGATGCACCAGCGATCCTCAAGCAATTATCGCAATCGCCGCTACATGTGTTTTGCAAGCCACGTTGCGGGTGGGTGGGTGGGATGTTTGCAGGAGCATGAAATGTTCACGCGTGAGGAAGCCAACGTAAAGCCTCCTCTCCTCATTCATATGGTGGTAGGATCCATCCCACCACCCCCCCGACTTAAAGGTCCGCCTTTTTGGCTTGTAATTTACGTGCGTCTCTGCCTTATCGTTCATCCTACATATGAATTCACACGACCCCGGGCAGTCCTTTATCGGACCCGCCCCCCGATCTGCAAAAGCTACAATGCGCCCGCACTCGTTTATAAGAAACCATTGTTCTTGCATATGTGTATATATATAAGAGGAGCATCAGATCATGCAAACGCAGGGAAAGAGTGCACGCGCGCGCAGTCGCGCTCGCTTGCCGACATGGTTTTGTTTTTCATAAAAAAACTTTTTTTCCGTAAGGATGTTGAAATCGCGTGCCCCGAAAGTTTTTTGTAAACAACCCCACGGTTTTCAAACACGCAAGAAACATGCGCTCGCGCCCTTGAGGGTTTTTAAGGAAGCCATTGGTGTTCAACTTGTCCACCAAGTGCCACCAAACGTGTTTCTCGCGCGCGCATGTTTAAATCGTTCGAGCGCCTTTGCGCGCGTGTTATCGCAAGAATCCTTTGCACAGAATCGGACGCAGTGCACGCGCGCGAGTATCCGCGCGCGAATGCCGACAGATTTTAGAATCTGTGGGTTTCGCAAAGGTATCAACACCGGGTGACCCGAAACATTCAGAACAAACCACATGGTAGTGCAGCGT